TTCTCTTTCTTTCTTTCTTTCTTTCTTTCTTTCTTTCTTTCTTTCTTTCTTTCTTTCTTTCTTTCTTTCTTTCTTTCTTTCTTTCTTTCTTTCTTTCAAGGCAGAGTCTCTCTGTGTAGCCCTGTCTGTCCGGGAACTCACTCTGTTGACCAGGCTGGCCTCCAACTCATAGAAACCCACCTGTTTCTGCTTCCTGAGTGCTGGGATTAAAGGTGTGAAGGTGTGCATCCTCACGCTGTTCCCCCCCACACTCCCACCGCCCCCCCAGCTCCATTTTCTCCTTTCTATTTTATTTAATTTTTATTTATTTATTTATTTATTTTTGAGACAGAGTTTCTCTGTGTAGCCCTGGCTATCCTGGAACTCAATCTGTACCAATCTGCAGATCAAGGCGGCCTCAAACTCACAGAGATCTGCCTGCCTCTGCCTCCTGAATGTCCATTTATTTTGTTTTATTATTATTATTTTGGTTTTTGGAGACAGGGTTTCTTTTTTCTTTTTTAAAAAGATTCATTTATTTATTATGTATACAGTGTTCTGCCTGCATGTACACCTGCCCACCAGAAGAGGGCACCAGATCTCATTACAGATGGTTGTGAGCCACCATGTGGTTGCTGGGAACTGAACTCAGGACCTCTGGAAGAACAGCCAGTGCTCTTAAACACTGAGCCATCTCTCCAGCCCAGGTTTCTCTTTCCTTAAAGATTTATTTTATTAAATAAGCATGGTAGCCCGTGCCTTTAATCCCAACACCAGGGAAGCAGAGGCTGGAGGACTGGTCAGTTCAAAGCCAGCCTGCTCAACCCAGTGAGTTCCAGGCTACCCAGACCTACACAGTGAGACCCTTGTCTCAAAGGCAAACAAAACCAAGGGTAGAGATGGTGTTCAGTGGGGAATCGTGACTGTGCATTAATCCGTGACTTTCCCTTACTTCTTTACCAAAGACTGGACTCCGGTCTCCCTGAGTTGTGAGGACAAGAAGCAGGGTATGAGACGGGTGGGTCTAACAGGAGACGCCGCCGACAGAAGAGGCCCCACTTCCTGCAGTCTTCTTCCCTTCCCCTCCCCTGCGCTCACCCCAGCCCTTCGCTGGCTGCCCCTAGACGTCACCACCACGTACAGAGCGAGCGGGCGGCCGCGGGGACGGGACATCTTTCCCTCTTACCACCGTTCCAGCTGTTCCAGCTGCAGCTCCGGGGGTGGCGCTCCGATGCAGGACCTCTGCTGCTGCACCCTCCACTCGTCCAGTTTCGGCAGCAACAGGTCGACCAGGGTGGTTAATCGGCCTACAAGGGCTTTGGAGGTATCCAGCACCTCCTAGCCGAGAGAGACGGCGGCGAGGGGCTAAGTACCTCTCACCGCCACCCTCGTCCACCAGCGAAGTGGCCGGGAGCCCCCCAGGCCCCTCCCCAGCCCCCTCCCCCAGGCCCTCCCCCCAGACCCCTCCCCCCAGGCCCCTGCCGCCCCGCCCCCGTACCCTCCTCTTCACCTTTCTCATCCTGTCCAGTTGGTTAGCCGTCGTCTGTACAAGCTGCTGCTGTTGGTTCTGATGGGGATCCAAAGACGACGTCTTCTCTGAAAAGGCAAAACCAGGGGTCAGCGCCCACGGACTCCTCTGCTCTTTCCCGGTCTCGGTCAGGAACAGGGAGTGATGGGTCGGGGGAGAGGCAGGGAGAGCCAGGCACAGCACAGGCACCCAGGGTCCCGGGGGCACATCCTAAATGGACCCGAAGCCCGCTCAGCCTGCCGAGGCAGTTTGCTGCATTAGCCCCCCGGTCGCTGACTGGCTGTTCCTCCGCTGCGTCTCTGGTGCATCCTCTACAGCACACCCTCGCCCCTGCCGTGTACACTGGCAGGACGATGGACGCTGATGTGTACCGCTGAAGGTGACTACTGCTCGCTGGAGCGTTCCGCTCCTGCCATCATCTACACCAGGTCCCCAAGATGGCCTCTGTCTTTCTCCCACTTTGAGCGGACCTACTTTGAGTGAAAATCATGTATCTGAAGCTGAAGACGTCGTGCAGGTCTTTCAGTTGCGTGATGGACCTCACAAATATCTGCAGAGGAGATGGGACCCCAATAAGGCTGCTTCCTAGGGGGCAGAAAAGCTGAATCCTCTCCATCCCGACACCTGCCGTATCCACCAACCTCAACCAGAGCCCTTAAATCCAGGATTCGGGATTCAATCTCAAACTGCTGGCCTTCCACTGCTGCTTCAGGAGCTGGCCTGGCTTGTACCTGAAACAAGAGGTTCTGAACACGTTTGAACTCTTGACTTTTCTTTTCTTTTCCCAAGACAGCATCTCTGTGTAGCCCTGGCTGTCCTGGAACTCCCTCTATAGACCAGGCTGGTCTCAAACTCAGAGATCCTCCTGCCTCTGCCTCCCAAGTGCTGGGATTAAAGGCGTGCACCCTTTACCTCTCAGGATGAACTCTGACTTTTCATCCCTAAAATCGTGATCTGAAATTATTCTGCAGGATTTGGGGAGATCCTGGTCAGAGACAAGTTCCCTGAGTCCTTGCCATGGTGTCTTTCTATCCCAGGAGCATTCAACATCCCCACCACATTGTCCTCACCTCCTGAGTCCTTTGAGCCTGATTCAGAATTCTTTTCTCTTCCAGGAGAAGGTTAAAGATCATCTCCGCCAACTTGGTAGGGCCATTGGAAAAGGTCTAAGTGGGAAAAGAGAAGGACCGATCCATTAACACTACCTCAGTGACCTGTCAGTCCAGACCCTGCTCTCAGTCTCCCCAGTATTTCCCCTCCCGCAAGGTCCCTGGCCATCTCCTACGTATATCTAGGCTCTGTATCGACCTCTCTCCGTCCTTGACTCTGCCCCAAGTTCAGATACCCCAAGATGGATACCCCAAGTTCAGACTCTGTGCTCCTTCCTCCAGGTCAGCCCCCTCCCTTTGCATCTTTGGGAACAATTCTGTACCCCAACCATTAGTCCAACTCTGCCAAGTACCTGGATGTCCCGGCTGAACTTCCGCAAGTTATGCTGTAGTAGGAAACAATCCGGGTCTGAGCTGTAGTGGTCCCACTGGTTCAGCTGGTCCAAGATGGTGAAGTAGAGCATGTTGGCCGTGGAATGGTCATTGCCCAGCACAACTTCCCTCCTGAGGACCGGGCATGACAAGGATTAGGAGCTCTGTCATGTCGCTGCTGCTGCTGCTGCTGCTGCTGCTGCTGCTGCTGCTGCTGCTGCTGGGAGATCTCCCACCCCTCCCGGGACGTCTCTAGAAGCCTGTGGGCTCAGAAGAAAGAAACCATTCCAACTCCCCAAGCCCTCACCAGTTCTGGCCTTCAATCCAGACGGCCAAGTGCTGCCGGACATCCATCGGCAGCACGCTCCGGGAATAGAGCTGGTGCAACTGGTCCAGGAAGGGGCTGTCAAGATTCTGCAGCATCTCCCACTGCGCCATCTGGACTCTGAATGGAGAGGATGTCAGTTCTCAACTGGACATTTTACTGAACCAAATCACCCACGGTCTCATGATGATTTATGAATTTATTTTTGGCTTATAAAAAGCGAACAGGCAGGCAGTGGAGGCACACGCCTTTCATCCCAGCACTCGGGAGGCAGAGGCAGGTGGATCTCTGTGAGTTCGATGCCAGCCTGGTCTACGGAGCGAGTTCAGGATGGCCGGAGCTGTTACACAGAGAAACCCTGTCTCTGAAAACAAACCCAGGGTCTAACTCGGTAACCCAGCTGGCCTGGAAATCACAACAATCCCGTCTCAGGCTCCTAAGTGCTGGGATTTAGGCCACCACATCTGCTGTGTGATTTTTGTTCTAATTTAAAAATGTTTCAATTATACAATTAAAAGATACAGAAAAGGGGCTGGAGCGTTGGCTCAGTGTTTAAGAGTATTGTCGCTCTTCTAGAGAACCAGTTTTTGATTCTTAGGACCCACACGGTGACGAACAACCATTTGCACTCCAGTCCCAGGGGATCTGATGCCCTCTTCTCACCTCTGAGGCCGTCAGGCATGGAAGTGGTATGTTTTCATTCCATGTAGGCAAAACTCGTACACATAAAATAATTTTTAAAAGATACAGGAAATAGCCAGGCAGTGGTGGCACACACTTTTAATCCCAGCACTTGAGAGGCAGAGACATGCAGATCTCTGTGAGTTCAAGGCCAGCCTGGTCTACAGAGCAAGTTCCAGGACAGGCTCCAAAGCTACAGAGAAACCCTATCTCAAAAAACAAAAACAAAAACAAAAACAAACAAACAAACAAAAGATATAAAAAGTATTAGTTTACATTGCTCCTACTCTCAATCTTGGTCTCTGTCCTTTCTCTTTAAAAGTAATTCTTGGGGCTGGAGAGATGGCTCAGAGGTCCTGAGTTCAATTCCCAGCACCCACATGGTGGCTCACAACCATCGGTAATGAGGTCTGGTGCCCTCTTCTGGCCTGCAGGCAGAACACTGTATACATAATAGATAAATAAATCCTTTTTAAAAAATTTTTTATTATTAAGAAAAATTTTTCATTCATTTTATATACCAGTCAAAGATCCCCTCTTCCCTCCTCCCACCCCCCAGCCTCCCCCTCCCAACCCACCTCCTACTCCTACCCACAAGAAGGTAAGGCCTCCCATGGGGAGGCACATCCGGTAGAGACAAGTCCAAGCCCCTTCCCCTGCCTCAAGGCTGCACGAGGTTCTCCATCATAGGTAGTGGGCTCCACAAAGCCCGCCCATGCATCAGAGGGGATGGAGAGAAACCCAGTGCTAGGGGAGTTGCCAGGAGTCACCAAGGATGACCCCAGACTGGGCTGCTAGCCATGGTGGAGTGGGTACTGAACTGAACTGGCTTGTACCAGAGATCAGACCGGTGAATACCCTAACTGTCATCACAGAGCTTTGCTCCAATGACTGATGGAAGCAGATGCAGAGATCCACAGCCAATCACTAGACAGAGCTCCAGTGGTCCAGTCAAAGAGAGAGAAGAGGGATTCTATGAGCAAGTGCATCAGGATCATGATGGGGAAACATGCAGATAAATAAATCTTAAAAAAAATTTTTTTGGTAGCTGGGCGGTGGTGGCGCACGCCTTTAATCCCAGCACCTCGGGAGGCAGAGGCTGGATCTCTGTGAAGTTGAGGCCAGCCTGGGCTACAGAGTGAGTTCCAGGAAAGGCGCAAAGCTACACAGAGAAACCAAAAGAAAAAAATTTTTTTTATTTTTATTTATTTATTTTTTTTTCGAGACAGGGTTTCTCTGTGTAGCTTTGTGCCTTTCCTGGAGCTCACTTGGTAGCCCAGGCTGGCCTCCAACTCGCAGAGATCCGACTGGCTCTGCCTCCCAAGTGCTGGGATTAAAGGCGTGCGCCACCACGCCCGGCTAAAAATTTTTAAAGTAATTCTTATTACAGTTTGCTGCAGTTTTTCCAGGGAATACTATTTCATAGTTGCAGTATGTGGTATTTCTTGTTCAAATGATAACTTTCAGAATGATGCCAGGCCATGGTGATGCCAGGCAGAGGTGGTGGTGGCACAGCCCGTAATACCAGCACTGAGCAGCTGGGGGCAGGCTCAGCTACACAGACCAGGTTGGACTACATGAGACAGAACGAACAGTGGAATCAATGTGTACATCGTCTATGTACACATTGTCCAACCTAACAAACAATATTTCCACTGTCTGACACCACCTAGCCCCTCCAGTTAATTCACACTCTTGGTCTTTGTAGTTGTTTACGCTGGAAGGAAGCATCAATGATAAAGATGAATATTGGTCTTGAGTAGTCGTGATTTTTGCTGGCCCAGGAGCTTTCTCTAGGGACAGGTAAGAAAATACTCCTCACCAACTGCCCACCAGCTAGGCAAGGTCCTCCATTTAAGGTGTCTGAAGTGTCACAGTGAGTCATTCAGTCTTGAAGACTGGAGCATATTTATGACTTCTGTCAATCCCTGGCCTTCAGGTGAATTACCAGATTTGTAAAGACCCAGAAATTTCACACACACTGTGTGGCTGGAGAGATGGCTCAGAGGTTAAGAGCACTGCCTTTTCTTCCAGAGGTCCCGAGTTCAATTCCCAGCACCCACAGGGTGGCTCACAACCATCTGTAATGAGATCTGGTGCCCTCTTCTGGTGTGCAGGCAGAACACTGTGTACATAATAAATAAATCTTTAAAACAAACAAAAAAACTGCTTTCCCCTGACACAAAGCTGGCTGCGGTTGGGGATTTAGCCCTGGGTTCGGTCTTCAGCTCTAAAAAAAAAAAAAAAAAAAAAAAAAGAAAGCAAGCAAAACCAGGCAGTGCCACGTGTGTGCCCCCACACATTTTCCCTTCTCATTGCCATCTCTTATCTATTATGGGAATTAAAAGTTATTCATCTGCTCCCATCAGCAGCCCAAGGAAGCCTCTCTGATGACAAGTGGGGTATGAGTATAGCAGAATACCATTAGGAATCATTTCACTGATTTTTTATTTTTTTAGGCAGAGCTCAGGAACCCTCAAGAAGGGGGCGGGGGAGGACAGTAGGAGCCAGAGGGACCAAAGACACGAAGAGAACAGGCCCACAGAATCAACTAAGTAAGTCACAGGGCTCACCGAGACCAAAGGGGCAATCATGGAGCCTGCCCGGGTCTGGGCTGGGCCTCTGCACACAGGCTGTGGTTGGTTTTTTTTTTGTTTTGTTTTGTTTTGTTTTTTTTTAGATTTATTTATTTATTATGTATACAGCATGTATGTCTGCAGGCCAGAAGAGGGCACCAGATCTCATTACAGATGGTTGTGAGCCACCATGTGGTTGCTGGGAATTGAACTCAGGACCTCTGGAAGAGCAGTCAGTGCTCTTAACCTCTGAGCCATCTCTCCAGCCCCCTGTGGTTGTTTGTTTAGCTTGGGGTTTTTGTGGGACTCCGAACAGTGGGTTTAGGGGGTGTCTCTGACTCTTTTGCCTGCTCTTGGGATCCTTTTCCTCCTACGGGGTCGTCTCTACTAAGTTGCCTCACCCAGCCTTGATATGAGGGTTTGCGGCTAGTCTTATTGCATCTTGTGATGCAGTGTTCGGTGTACTGGGAGGCCTGCTCTTTTCAGAATGGAAACAGAGGAGCAGGGGAGCTGGGGATGGGGAGTGGAGGGAGGGTGGGAGGGGTGGAGGGAGGGGAGGCTGCAGCTGGGGTATACTGTATGAGAGAAGAAATAATAATAAAAAAACATTATTATTATTATTATTATTATTATTATTATTATTATTATTATTATTATTACACTGGGAGCCTAAAAGATCAGGAGAAACAAGCACACTCGTGTTCTTCAAAGTGACATGATTCTACTACAGAGCAAACAAAAACATCTAGGGTCCATGAGCTGGCTCTCTTCCCCTGAAAGTAGAATATGGAAGGGAAGAGAATGGGCAGGAAATCCAATTTTTCTTCTCTCTCTCTCTCTCTCTCTCTCTCTCTCTCTTTTTAAGCAGGGTTTCTGTGTAGCCCTGGCTGTCCTCGAACTTACTTTGTAGACCAGGTTGGCCCCGAACTCAATGAGATCCTCCTGCCTCTGCCTCCCAAGTGCTGGGATTTAAGGTCTGCACCACCACCACCCAGCCCCATTTTTCATAAAACACAAACAAACAAAAATTATTTATTTGTGGTGTGTGTGTGTGTGTGTGTGTGTGTGTGTGTGTGTGTGTGTGCACGCGCGTGCGTGTGCACACAGAGCTGGGGCAGAGTGGAGCAGGGCTGTGGACCAGAACAGGGCTTCAGATTCCCTGGAGTTTGAGTTTCAGGATGTTGTGAGTTTCCCAGTTCGGTGCTGAGAACTGAACCCCAGTCCTCTGCAAGAGCACCAGGCTCCCTTAAACACTGAGCCATCTCTCCACCCCCAGGAGCCAATTTTTCATTTTAGCCTTTTAATAATCCTTGATCAACCGTTGCTGGAGATCAAATACAGGACTTCTCTTGTGCTCTGTGATTGCTCTAGCTGAGCCACATCTTCCCTTGGGTATCTGACTCTTTAAAACTATATACTGTATTGCTTTTTGGTTTGGTTTGCTTTTCAAGACAGGGTTTATCTGTGTAACAGCCCTGACTATCCTGGAACTCACTCTGTAGCCCAGGCTGGCCTCAAACTCACAGAGATCCTCCTGCCTCTGCCTCCCCAGTGCTGGGATTAAGGGTGTGCACCACCACTGCCTGGCCTGTATGGTTTTAAAGAAACAAAAACTTAGCCGGGCGGTGGTGGCACACACCTTTAATCCCAGCACTCGGGAGGCAGAGGCAGGCGGATCTCTGTGAGTTCGAGGCCAGCCTGGGCTACCAAGTGAGCTCCAGG